TATGAGTACACACACATTTTACAGTATCGGGCCCGATACCCGATACCAGTATCGGTATCGGTGCATCCCTAGTTTTTTCAACTGTTATAAAGGGATTGTAACATCATCATGAGTCTTTATGGCTTCAAAATAGACCTTCAGATAGGACGCCTGAATCCGCAAAGGCATCATTTAAAAGGGTCCCAGGACAAATAGACCCAAAGCTGGTTACAGTGGTCAAAATGACAACCAGTCAAAAGACCTAAAATTAGATGAGGAACACAAGACTGAGCATAATTTTGACAAGGGGGATTATAAGAGTATAAAAAATGAGTACATAAATGTCAAAACCAACACGTGAGATCAGTTCTCCAAGTGCTTAAGACTGTTTAAAATACAGTTTACAGATTTGTTTATGGATGTTTTGGTGATTTTTTTACTGAATAGATGAATTCATGAATGACTCAATGTCAAATTTTTACAAACTTACAATTCTGAAACTTATAGTCTAAAGTTTAAAAGTGATGTTTGGAATTTATAAGCTACGATTGGGTAAACCTGTGGATCTGACATCAAGGCCAGTTTAAGGCAAACCAGAAAAACTCATTCATGAATTCATCGATTCATCTTCTCTCCTTTGTGAAAGAGATAAAACTACAAGCTGGGTGATTTTGTCCTTGTAATTTCCAAGAAGAAATGTTGTGTTGCCTCGAGGTATTCGGTGTTATTTGTTTCATCAAAGCAAAGTGGAGCTGATGTTTCTGGTGGTAGTTCAGCTCCGTCTTTTATTTCCTTGAATATGATGCAATAACATTTACATAGCAGCAATAAAACCAAATCAAATATTCCTGATTTTCCTGCAGCAGCCATATACAATATGACCGTGAAATAAAAGTTCTTCAGAGCAGCTACGCTCGGTTTGTTTCCTAAAGGCAAACATTTCCCCGGTCAGCTATTTGTCTGCAAACCGAACGGTGTCTGAGCTCTTCGGTGCATTCACCCTGACACATTTTCAGACAATAGCCATCCTTATGAGGTTCGCTTTAGTGTTATTACAAACTCTGCCTCTCACGATGACCTTGCGCTGATGAATGAATGTTTTCTAGCCATCGAAAACACGAGAACAAACAAAATATGCAGCAAAATGTCCTGAGAAGGTTGTTTTCTGTCCACATGATGACACCACAGAATCTGATCTGCTGATCTGAGCTCAGTCCGAAGGATCAGAGCAGGAAGTCTGATAGTTATCACAGATGGAAGATGGTTCTTTGTAGCAAGGAAGGTGATGTGATTTTTTGTATTATTAGGTAGCTGTGATGTAGAAAGAGTAGCTTTGGCTTTGTGCCATTCTATTGTAAGGAAAATATGTGTAAGAATGCAGAGGAGGTTCTGCCTCTTACGTTTTTCCTGATTAGCACAGTGTGTCATAAAAAGTCTCAGAATTTGCTTTAAGCACATTTGACTTTAATCATTAACTTACATTAAGTCCTACAGTATGATTAAACTGCCATTAACTCATCATTCCCCACCTAAACATTTACCATCTGAATCATTCTTGTTAATAAGTGTCTGACTGCATCTATGAATGCTGTATCACTCCCACTAGAATCATTACGCTATCTGTTTGCGCCGTCTCCACGGCGACAAAGGTGTGGCAACTGTTTAACACAGGGTTAGTTATATAGTGACATCTCTGCAGGGCACTTTGTAAAAGACGGAGGGCTGGCAGGTTGTAAAATGAAGATGAAGGGGATTATTGCCAGGTCACAGATATCACACACTGACTGTTGGGTGATTAAAAGATTTATTTTCTTATCTCTGTCTGTTCATCACAGATTCCAAGCCCGTGTCTCCATACAGCGGCTACACCGGTCAGATGCGTAACTCGGTGTACCAGCCCACTGAGCTGGCTCTCATCAGCAAAGGAGTTGGAAATGTGAGTGTAAAAGTGATACATTCACAGAAAAACACATTTGAATATGGCCACTCCACTCGCACACATACCTGTTTCCTGCACTAGGCAAATTTTTATGGAAATAAGTGGTGACAGTAACCTGTTACAGAGCGTGAAAACCTCATCAACACCAGATACACATAACACCAGCAACCATCACTTCCAAGGTACTTTAGTCCATATTTGCATTTTAATTAACAACAGACAAAGGAAAATGGGAGAACGAATAAAACAGGTGGACATTTAAAAGTTGTCAGGAGCACGTGTGGCCTCAATCACAGCTTTAATTCTAATGTCACAGATGCCGGGGGTTAAACATCCAGCTGGAGGCGTTTCCTCGGGTTATAGAAAAAAGTGCATTATATAATCACTAGACTCAAAATGTCATTTATTTTGTAAATTATGCGCACCGGTAGTGTCTGTAAAAACCACAACACCAGGTACGCTTTAGGGTTGAGCCAACCTTGTGACTAAAGAGCACTTGTTCTTCTTAGAAAAGCAAAAGCGCAGAGGTCACATGGGAAGATTTTCAACTTCTGACCACAGTCTGTATATAAATGAGAGACTTACCCAACTGATCAGTAATAATTTAGACCCAGCTTAAACTAAACTGTAGTAATAAGGACACAAAATAAACATCCAGTCAGCTTGTGAGGCCTGAAACTACTAATATCACAAACTCTTTAAAAATGGTGCAATGAGGTCACAGATTAAAGCAACTGAACGAGCTAACGTTGTCCACCATATTGCATGTGATATAACCCCCGGTTGCTAGTGAAATGCTTATTCGCCGGCTGGTTGGCAGTAGTTGATGGAGGTTTCTGGCTGTCAATGGATGAAATCTGTTGCACCAGAGACTGATTTTGTTGCCTGTAGTTTTTCTAGGCAATCATTTTCTGCTCTCAGTCCCCAGCAACCAATCACAACAATCTCAGGGAATGCTCATTTTTCCCGAACTACCTTTGGTTACTAGATGGTCGTGGGTCGGTCTGTAGGCCTGTTTGCCTGTTTGCATGGGCACAATCAGATTTCCCCACACTGGTGCCGTTTCCATGTCATCATTGGTCCAGGATCAACGTTACAGCTGACCAATCACATTGGCTGAGCAGTTAGCATTAGCAAAGAAGTTAACTGTTAAAAACTTTCTAACATGACCAGTTTCAATTTGGCTAACAGCAAATCTAACTTGATGAAATATTTATTATACTCCATAAATTAATAAAGAAAACACTTGACATGCTGACCATTTGTTCCAGAAGAGCCTTTTATATAAACAGAAGCATCTTTTTTTCCCCCATGTTCCACAACTAACACCAACACCGGGATATCAGGGCGTTATTCACTTGATCCGATATTGTCACCATGATTGTCACACATCCACAATGACCGAAGTTATGCAATGTAACTTTTTTTTTTCCATAAAAGAGAATCGCCCTGCTGCAAATTAAACAGAATGTCCAATTTTTATATAAATTATGAAGTAAAATCTGTGACAGAAGCTTTTTTTTTTATACAGTGTTTATGTCAGTGGTATCTGAGTAAGTGCTGGAAAGTGAGACTGAGTCCCTTAATGACTTTGTATACAAGGTCACCATTCAAATGCATTTTGAGTGTAGTATCAGTGCAGTCAGGGTTTATTTAGTGGAAAACACAAAGTTCTCAGTTAACTCAAAATCCTGGCACCTATCTGATTAGTTAATGCTACAGTTGTACATGCAGAAATCATATACTGAAAGGTTTTAGTATATTTTTCCTTCCTTCCTGTGCAAGCAAAATAAAGTCAGCTGTCATACTTTTTCAAATGTCCAGTACCTGCTGCGATTTCTGTGAAAAGTTTTTTTAAAAAATGACCCGTTTGTTTGTAAATGCAGTGAACCACCAAAGGCATGACGGTTATGTTTCATGTGAAAGCTTTATGAAGTCATTTGAACTCAAGCAGGCAGTTGTGAACACACTTCGTCCCTATTCTTGGATGTTTTTGTCACGGCCTTGTTGTGACTTCACACAGCAGCAGCTACCGGACCCGTCCTTTGACATCTTCATTCCCAGAGCTTCCATCGGCTCTGCGGCCAACAGCGGGAGCAGCACACCGTCAACATAAAAGGAGACCGGGAACACGCACACACAAGTGTAGGTGGAAAGCAGCTGACTCGCCTCCTTCGTCACTCTGCAGTTCTCCTCTTTATCACCTGCTTGACTCCAGATGCTTTTCTCTTCGTGGCCTCTGCTCATTTCCGACCTCTCAGGTCCTGCTGTATCCATAGCAACTTCTTCTACAGGTTGACCATGAATCACTTCTTTGTCTGGATTTTTTTTTTCTTATCTTGCGCCGTTCACTCTCTATAGGCCTTGTGTCTGCCTCTTCTGTGCATATGCTCCTGGACTGAGCGCACTCTGTACTTCTTGTGTCATTCCTCTGGGAAATAATCAAAGAAAAAGATGTTGATGAGAAAGGTAGTGCTTGATTTGGGGGGACTGCTTTTCACTGTTTGTCGTTTATCTCAAAAAAAGTGCAATTCTTGCCTAAAGGCTTTAAAGGTGTCTCTGAAATGTGTGCAGCTCTCTCATTCATGGAGGAAGGCAGCTAATGTTTCTGTTTATGGGCTACAAAAACGCAAAATTAGACTTTTGGTTGTCACCTTTATTTAATATAATTGTATAGTTAATGTAGACATTGACTTAAAGATGCTAAAATATGCATTTAGACTTTTTCAGGAGTGCTCAGGATTTCTTTGCAGGAAGTCATGATATCTACATGCAGGTGGGGCTGTGAGCGTGTCATTAGAAGAGTTGCTGGTTTGTTTTGGTTTTTAGATTTGCAAAGAAAAACAGCCACGCACGTGCTGCCACGTTTTAAGTAAAACATGAGCATGTGAAACTGGTTCCCAGTCAGTTTGTTATTTTTAAGTTTCTATAAATACTTCTTTTAGTTTTTCAACATCCAGTCAGGTTCAGGTTAGTTTGTATCCGTAGGTTTTTTTTAGCCGACAGCAGGTGATCGTCCATCCTCACATGCCCAAAACTAAAATAATCAATAATGGTTAATGATCCACATCATACAATATCCACATTTTGTAGGATATCAAAGATGCTGTTTGTTATTTGCAAGTTCTACAAGTAACCCTAAAAATGGAACTTGAATAAGTTTCTGTTCTTTACAAAGTGTGACGACAAACGAAAGAACAAAACAGATAAGATGCAGTTTTGTCAGCGTGGCTATAAAAAGTGATCGTTTTTATAGAAGTAATAACTCTTAATGTAGTGAAACATAAAAAAGCTCTTGTTATGAGAGTAATGTCTTAGTCCCTTTTTATCTTGCTCAGCTTTTATA